CACTTCCTTCTTCATTTTTGCCTGAGTTTTCTTCAATGTTTCTATCTCTTTTGTGAATTCATTCAGAAGTTTATCCTTATTTTCTTTTAGTTCTTTGATTTGTTTGTTCATGTGTTCTTTAAATTGGTTTAATTCCTTGATCATGTTTATGATTGCTCTTCTAAATTCAGTGTCCTGGATTATCTCTAGGGGGTTCTCCTTATAGAACTCTTCTACAGGACTCGTGGAGTTTGGTGGGGACATAGTGTTTTGGCTCTCCATTTTACCATTTTTTTTGTTGTGATTTTGGCATGTGAATTTCTTTTGTTATTTATGATTCTGATAAAAGAATTAAGTTGCTTCTGTTTGTATTATTGGGGTGCCTAGGTCCTTTCCTTATTGGTTATGTAAAGCTGGTTGGTACAGATTTCAGGTTCTCTCAGGTTTTATTTTGGAGGGAACTGATGGCTTCAGATCAACTATTCAGGAGCACCCACAGAAGCCCAAGTCAGGTTCCAGACAGGTACACTCAGTGACTTTCTAAGGTTTGGATCCCTATTAGCAGGAACTCAGAGAAAAATTAGGAAATTTCCTAGGGAGGGGGGCAATTTTGGGACTCTCAGTTGGTCTGTTGTGTTCTCAGCCCCTGTGCCAGAGGGAGGCCAGAACCCGACACTCTCTGGTGGTCTGATGAGATCACAGCCGCTACACAGATGGAGGTCAGAACTCATCCTCTAAGGCTGTCTGCTAAGATCTCAGCCTTAGCCTACCAAAGCCAGATCTGCCCTGGGGCCTTAGGAGAGGCCTCGAGAAATCCCAGGTAGAGGGATGGGTATGGTGCAATTAAGGGAAGCTCATCACCAAGTGGAGCCAGGATCTGGACACTCTCAGGCAGTCCCCTGCTTTCTCGGCCCCTATGCCAGAGGGAGGCCAGAACCCGGCACTCTGCTGAGATCACAGCCACTACACTGTTGGAGGTCGGATCCCACCCTCTCAGGCTATCTCTGGTAATATTAATCTTAAAAGTTCTTTAGTCAATAAGCCTATGTTTGTCTGATTTAGGCTGTAAGCTTTTTTTAAATTAATTTAAAATAATATGTACAGAAAACATATGACCGCATACATATTCTCATTCTCATTCTCTCTCTCTCTCTCTCTCTCTCTCTCTCTCTCTCTCTTCCCCCCTCCCCCTCTCCCTCTCCCTCTCCCTCTCCCCTTCCCTGTCTCCCACCCACCATTAGGGGGATGCCATTAGGTGAAATACCTGTTTGTGTGTGCTGGGGAGAGGCATGTGTTGGGGATTTAGGAGGTGAACCTATGCTGTGATCCTTCACAGCCTGTTTAAGCATCTCAACGTTGCAATCGAATTCATGTAACAACTCGTTAGCCCATCCATTTTTTGTTTTGGTTGCATCACTGAAATACATCCAATGAGTACAACTATCTCCTGTAAAATGGGTAAGAGGTATTCACTGAACATGCACAATGTTTTCACTCAAACCTAAGTCATTTTCTCAAGAGAGCATGTTGTATTTTGCTTTGTTTTAGATGGTGTCTTAGTAACAGGACTGTTCACCATACCTGGCTTGAATCTTCAATAGAAAAAAATTACAGTCTACTTCTCTAATAAAATAAGAGCAAGACAGAGGAAAAAGAGTGTCAAAAGCAAATAACATACATGACTTTCTATCTAAAACCCATACTTAGTGAAACAATATTCAATTCCAAGCCACAGGTCTAGGCAATTTTCACTGGATATTCAATTAGCTGGCAAACATCCACTGTAGAGAATTCAAAAAAAAAAAAAAATCAAAGAAAAGACAACCTTTCAGCAAAGACTTGTTGTAAAGTGATTAACAGTAATCTAATATAGAAAGGTGATAAAGTAGATGATAATCAAAACATTTAAAAAAACAACAAAACTTCTCAATACAGGTATCAATCAGAAAGAAAATACAAAATCAAGATCAGGTTTCTTTCTAGAAACTTAGAAAAACAGCATGCACATAAAAAGATTAAGAAAATAAAATCTGCTCTATGACTGAAAGTTTTCCCATCTAAAATAAGAATAATTTCCACAGTTAGAAGACATTTTTCTTCTTTTGAGATATGATGTGCTAGTATAACTGAGGCCACAGCACACTGCACAGCTTCCTATGTTCGAGAAGTGCAGGAAAAGGAGTAGGGTCACAGCACAGAACACCACAGCCGGCCAGTTAAGAGATTTTAAGCATAACTTACCAGTCAAGATAGGACAGAAAACACTGCCTTTCAAAAAGACCAAACAAATAGTACAACTTTTAAATCCTACTGTGCGCTGATATAGAAATGACGGGAAGTGGAAACATGAACACAATTTTTTTTAACTGCTTTTTAGAGATCCTGGAAATGCCATTATAATTTTTGTCTTTTTCTTATTTTGTAAATTACAAAACAAAAACAGTCATATACTATTAAAATGCAGAGACAGGTGCTATGCTTCAATTACTTAATTTGGCAATAATTCATACTTTTTTGTTTTTATTATTTGGAAGAAAAGACTCTACCAATATTCAATAATTAAAGAGCCTATTAAATCTTATTTACAGATAAGATTCAGAAAATACAGAAAAGTAGAAAAGTTTCAAAATTCTATAGGCAATATATAGACATATTTAAAAATTAAAAATATTAAGCCAGGTGTGGCGGCACACGCCTGTAATCCCAGCACTCGGGAGGCAGAGGCAGGTGGATCTCTCTCTCTATATATATATATGTGACTTATATATATATATATATATAATATATATATATATGACTTAATTTGTCACAACTAAGAAAATAATACAGCAGGGCGTGGTGGCACATGCCTTTAATCCCAGCACTCAGGAGGAAGAAGCAAAAGAAAATAATACAAATACATGACTGCTATGTTCTAATTTTTCAGAAGTTTTAACTTATTTAGAAAATTTTTCAAATTTGTACATGTGTGTGTCTGTGTGTCTATGTGTGTGTTGTATATGATTCTGAGGAACCAAACCCACAGCCTCAAAAAAGCTAGGCAAATTCTCTAGCATTTAGCAATACCTTAGGCAAAATTAGTCAATTTCTTTTTAAAATATTTTATTTACTATTTTTTTCATGTGTATGAGTGTACTGACTGCATGTGTGCAAGTACACCGTGTTTTGCAATGTCCATGGAGATCAGAAGAAGGCGTTGGATCCCCTGAAATTGGAGTTAAGGATGGTTGTTAGCTGCCATATGGGTGCTGGGAATTGAACCCACTGTAAGAGCAATCTGTGCTCTTAACCACTGAGCCATCTCTCCAGTCCCAAATTTGTCAATTTCTAACAATTACAGTTCCTAATACTCTATATGAACCTCAGTACATTTCCAAGGCAATTCTACATTCATAGTAAAATGCTGTCAGAAGAAAAATAATAAAGATGCCTTGTTCTCTTTCCTCCTTAGTAAATTAAAACAACAGAAAAAGAATTTTAAAAATGTTGGCTATGTCATTTTCAAAGTAAGATCTGCATATTTTATTTATTTATTTATTTATTTGTTTGTTTGTTTATTTATTTATTTTTGGTCTTTTTGAGACAGGGTCTCCCTAGCCCCAGCTGTCCTGGAACTCACTATGTAGACCAGGCTGGCCTTGAACTCACAGAGATCCACCAGCCTCTGCCTTCCAAGTGCTAGGATTAAAGGCATGCGCCACCACACCTGGCTTGCATATTTTATTTTTATTTAAATGTTTTATTTATTATTTTTCATTTTATGTGTATGTCTGTATTGTTTGCATGTAGGTCAGTGCACCTGTGTTGTGCAATGCCCGAGGTGGACAGAATAGGCCGTTGGATCCCCTGGAACTGGAGTTATAGATAGTTGTTAGCTGCCATGTGGGTGCTGGGATTAGAACCCAGGTCTTCTGCAAGAACAGCCAGTGTTCTTAACTGCTGAGCCATCTCTCCAGCCCCAAGATTTGCATATTTTTAAAAAAATTGTTATACACACCTGCTTTATGATAAGGATAATAATCTATGGTCAGCTGTGTAAAAGAGAGTTGCATAGCACCTCCAGTAATACGTCTGTTTGACTCTGGGAAGAGAAAAGGATTGAAGAAAAAAATGGGAAAAACAGTATGCAAATATCCGAAATAATTTACCATAAGAAAAAAGTCTTTACGACAATTGGTTTCGAGTAGTAAGAACTCTTTTTTATCATAGACAATGCAGTAAGAATTTTAGAAAACGCAATTAATCTAGAAAATGCAATTAATCTACTAAGCATTAACACTGAAGGACATTTGTTAGGTATAAATGATGACCTAAGACTAGTGCTTCTGCCCTCCATGACTGCAGTGGCAGTGAGGAACTTTCATGTTATAAGCTCTAACCATCTTCCCAGACAGCTACTAATACTTCAGGTGTACTAACTCATTTTATTTTCATAACAATCCCATAAGTATTATTTTATTATTATTATTATTATTATTATTATTATTATTATTATTATTATTATTACACATAAGTAAATCAAGGCACAAAAATAATAAACAGAACAAGATTATAAAGCTAATTAAGTACAGAGCTGGGCTTTGAACACAGGAAATCTTAACATTGTCACTATGTATCATCTTGCCTCTCACTAAAGAATAAATTGAATATATTGGAGCAAGTAAATAATCTAGTCACAAAGCTATACATAGATCATAAGTTAGCAAAAATCTAACAGACATTTTTTTTAAGACAGCATCTCCTGTATCCTAGGCTGGCTTCAAACTGAAGATGTAGAAGAAGATCATCTTGAACCCCTGATCTTCCTGCCTAATAAGTGCTGAGATGACACAGTTTATACAACCCCAAAGCTTCAGGCATGCTTAGTAATTGCTCTGCCAACTGAGCTACATCTCAGTCCCTCAAATTAAAATTTAAAACAGCATGAGCAAGTCAACTAGCAGTGAAGACAATACAAACCAAGACTGTCAAATATACACCCTCTATTAATTTGTTAACTCTGATTTATTTCAATTAGATTTAGTAGAATTCATAGTACACCTCCACAATCCTCATCTTACGGGCTAGCAAGATGGCTCAGTGGGTAAAAGCACACACCATGCCAGTCTAATGACCTATGTTTGATCCCCAGATCCTGCGGGAGGAAGACTCCCCAGAGTTATCCTCTGATCTCTGAATGTTTGGAGCTAAATGCTTCAGAATTCAGAAATTTTTAAAACAATTTTTGAAATTAATCTGGTGTGTAGTATATTTTGTAAGCAGCTTCAGAGGTAGCACTAAATAATAAAAATAGCAATTCTGCAGCAAAACCTAAAAAGGGGGTAAAATAACAATAGTAAATAGTAATGTCTTGATCAGGTCAGCTTTTACTATCAGTGAGATTTCTACAAACAGATGAAGAAATATTTCCGAGCTTCTTGAATTTCACAACAGAAGTGACTACAGATCCGGGCAGTGCAGGAGGCAGTGTATCTATGAGGGGTGCCAGTGGGCACTACCAAAGGGCTTACAGAAAACCAGGCAAAATGTTTAGTAAAGTACCTCATTTTGTTACTTGGTAATAATTTTTTCTGTTTACATCACTAGAGCAGATGATAACTATAAGTCAAATGACACAAAGTAGGCAAAGAAAATGTCAAAAAAATTCCTTTACAAACCCCAAATCTTCAGCTTTACCACCCAACTTTCCCCTTTAGCAATAATGGAGACTGAGTCAATCTAGGGTCTCTCCCATGCTAGGCAAGGGCTCTAACACGCGATACCCGCCCGACCCCTTCTAAAATTTTTTTGTTTACTTGGGTGTTTGTTTGGTTTGGGTTTTTTAGTTTGTTTGGGAGGGGTTGTTTGTTTGTTCTGGTTTGGGTTTTTTTGAGACAGGGTCTTGCTATATAGCCCTGGCTGGCCTGGAACTCACTATACAGGCCAGGTTGGCCCTGAACTCATGTATGTCTGGTTGCCTCTGCCTCCCGAGTGCTGTTTTTAAAGACTTGCGCCACCATGCCCTGTCCCCTTTTTAAAGTTTTTGAGGCAAGGTTTCACTAATTTGCCCATGCTGATGGCAAGCTGAGGTTATTCTGTCGGCTAAGCAACCCTTAAATTTGTGACGCTCCTGTCTCAGGCTTTCTAGCACCTGAGATTACAGGCCTGTCCACAAGGCCAGCTCCCGCCACCCTTTTTATCTGTTAGCTGAGTCCTCCTGCTTTGTGTGATGACTCCAGAGTAACCTCTACTGCCAAGTACACAGACCTCAACACTCACTTTCTCAGCTTTAAAAAAAAAAATCCAAAGGAACAGTTTTCACAGATAAATATTCTGATTCAGGTCTGAAAAACCCAGGTCAAATATTTCCATTTTTAAGAGATCCTCAACTTGATCCTAACGCTCACCAAAATTAGATAAACACTGTCCCTTAGATAAGCCTACCTGCTGAACTCTCCAACACTAGTGGGCCATTGGCACTCTGACAGAGAAACAGACACACCCAGCACTGAGTCTATGCAACCATGGAATTTCAAGGTGACCAAGAACAGCTTCCTGTTTGCCTTATTAACTGAATCTGTTAAACAAGGATAAAAAAGAGGAACACATGCTAAAAGAAGAAAAATTTCAAAGAGGAATTCGCTTCCTTATGAACTTTCAGGAAGACAGGCCAGGGGACAAAATGTAAAGGAGTCACACAGATGTCTGTAGGTATGTAATACAGAACATGAGTTCAGAAACTGGTAGGTTAACTACAATGTTTAAAACATGTATGAATACCCATGAGTGAAACAGGATAAAATTTATGGATAATTTCAAACAGCAAGTCTAAGGTATTCTATTCAAGAATGTCATCTATTCAATTTGGGGGGGTTAAAATATTTTTATTTATTTATTTTATTTATTTTTATGTGTATGAGTGTTGTGCCTGCATGTATGTAACTGTGCCATATGGATTCAATGTCTGTAGAGATCAGAAGAGGACACCAAATCCACTAGAACTGAGTTACAGATTGTTGTTAGCCACCATATGAGTGCTGGGAACCAAACCCAGGTTTTCTGTAAGAGCAGCCAGTGCTCTTAACCACTGAGTCATCTCTCCAGTCCCAGTCTTAGTTTTTTTAATCTAATTTTACTGTTAGCACTAACAGCTAACAGTTAAGTACTAACATCAAATAAAAAATTTTATATCAAAATAATGTTCCCTTTATATATCATCCTGAATGATAAAATTATGACAATTATTTTTCAATACAGTCTATCTATAGTAAACAACACAATTTTAGAATCGATTCTAGAAAAGCCAGAATAATTTGATCTAAGGTTTGTTACCTTTTTCTTTTGCATGAATATCATCACAGATGTGTAGATCTAGGTGAGAAATCACTAGATGATGGGAGGTTTCTTTAACATCAAAGTCATTGAATAATTTCACAATTCTATCATTTAGATCAGGAGCATTTGAAGTCTGTGGGGTCTTCACGTGCTGGGCAGATGGGGTTACTGTTGAGCTCTAAAGATTCAAACCACATTATCACTGCGCAGCCACATGCTGAAAATTTCACACTTAGGCACACCTGAACATCTCCAGTAAAGAAGGCATGAAAAATAAGCATATACAGTTTATTTTGTATCAGTAACTCAGCTGACTCAAAATAGCTTCTGATTTACATAAAAATTTTACTTTAACGAATTATACACAATTGGAATGTAAGCCAAATACATTTTGGTAAATATTTTACATATTTATGTTCTAATTTTGGAAATATAGTTACTAATTATTATTAAAGGCAGCTCTAAATGTTAAAAAGAAAACAAATATAAGCCCTGCACACATATATAACCTATTGAAAAAGAAAAATCATGCCTTTGTGGAAGCCCTTAGGATATTATTTAGTACTATAAGCACCTCTCAAAAGAGGTAATTCCTTTGAACTAGGAAATCCGAAGAAACCAGAAGTCAGAAGGATAAATAGACTTTAATTTCAAATATTTTTCCTCACAGAGAAAAATCATTATATGGTTGAGAGGTAAAAATGAATCCCTATAGCCTACAATGATTATATGTAAGCATCCAATGGGATAATACACATAAATATACTGCGAGACAATCCAGCACATGAGCCACAGTACTGTACATGAGACTGAATAATTATTAAAATGAAGACTTTAATAATTATTAAAATGAAGACTTTTTTTTCATTTAAAAATTAACTACTTTCAAATTTAGAATACTCTGTCAATAAAATATACTTAAAGATTATCAAGCAGTATATATACTGAGCATATGTACAAATTTGAGCACATGATAGCTATTAAAAAGTATTATACTATAAAGGTACTGCAAAGTATGCTTAGTAAATGTAAATCACTCAACGGAAATAACTACGGCCCATAGAAATTAAGGAAATGGAAATATGAAATAGTCATGAAAATTTAAATTCTAGGGGTTATAAAAACCTTTTTTTTTTTTTTTTTTTTCTTGGTCTTTTTGAGACAGGGACTCCCTGTAGCCCCAGCTAGCCAGGAACTCACTATGTAGATCAGGCTGGCCTCAAACTCATAGAGATCCATCTGCCTCTGCCTTCCGAGGGCTGGGATTAAAGACCTGTGCCACCACACCCGGTAAGAAAACTTTTTAATTACCTGATAAACTGATACAAATCGGGGGGTGGGAGGGATCACCACCTTTTCTTTGTTTTTTCACATCTATTTTCAGAGTCTTAACAGTTTAATACTATTTACAACGGTACTAGTATTGAAGTACACCCCCCCACCGCATCCTCAGAGATTTACATGCCAAGACATTCAGTGGCTATCTGAACTCCATAAGGCACAAAGCTCTCTATATAAGCACTGGGATACCATGCGGATGATCTGAAAATATAGCCAGCTACCAAGTGATAAACAGGTGGACAGTGTACTGTGTGGATACCCTGGACAGAGGGTGATTCACGTCCTGGACAGGATAGGTCAGGACAGAGCAAAATTTCAGCATATTACTCAGAAAAGCACATAATTTTTTCAAACAGGGCCTCTGTGTAGCCCACACTGGCCTCAAACATGGTTCTCCTGTCTCAGCCTCCAACTGCTGGCATTATAATCATGTACTGGCATCCAGCATCTTTCACCACATTTTCTCTCTTCTTCTTCAAGACAATGAGAAATAAAAACACAAACACTGATGTCCTTAGAAACCTTTTTCTTAATACTGTGGTGGGTTCAAGTTTAGAGGTACTATTTCTGGGTAAACGAAAGAGGCCCTTCATAAGCACTTCTGCATCATCACTATCTTAGCATCTCTTCATTTTAAAAATAGTAGTCTCTTCTCTTTCACAAAATGGTGAGATGAAGTTATACAAGCATCTATGATGCAAGATGACTAGACGTAAAGCTACGCAAAGGCCTGCTATCGATACTTTACTCTCTCATCTACTTTCTGAAATCTCAAAAAAAAAAAAAACCAGGAAATCATTTAATGGTACCTAATGTAGCAAAGGGACAGTGACCATCCAAGAAAACAATGATGCTTAAGAAAGCCCACTATGAAATACACAGTGACAAAAAACCATCAAGGAGGCTAGAGAAATGACTCGGCAGTTCCTAGAACATACTGCTCAGCAGAGGGCCTGAGTTCAGTTCCCAGTACTCTTGCCTGGTGGCTCTCAATGGCCTCTAACTACAGCTCCAGGGAATCTAATGCCCTCTTCTGGTGTCCATGGGCACTGCACATGTGCACAACCCCTCCCCCATATATACACATAATTAAAAATCTTTAAAATTAAGAAGACTAAAGAGAGAGAGAAAATTACACACACACACACATCTGGGAAAAAGTGAAGTTACTTAGGCAAAATGCTGTAAAAAAAAATCTCAAAATACTAACGTTGGTTTTACTAGAGTGCTAGAACTGTCAAATTTCAAGTTTCCTAATATTTATCTATAATTAGGTCCTTAATCTACACTCTATTTTATATAAACATACCTAAAATTATATAGGAGTTATAGTAACATAAATCTTCTGTCTAGTAATGTGTAATTGTAATCACTATCATTAGAATAAAACCTACACCACATAAAATCTTTATTATAACCTTAACAGATGAAGATTTATATCTACAGTGATAATACTGTAAAACAAAATTCTCTCATACTTCTTTAATTATATTTTTTCAGCTTCACAATAGCTTGCCTTACCTCATCTCCTTCAATCAAACCTGCTTCATCTTCTGTATTCCCTTTTCTGGCTGACAGAACTGTACGCTATCATTCTAAAGTCCTCAACTTCTGAAAGACTGTGATATATTCTCTAACCTGTCCTGTTCTTTCTTCTTTCAGGCCATTGTCAAAGCTAAGCTTCCTCTACACTGGCACTCTTCTTCTTCAGTCCATTTTCTGTAGCGCCATCATATCACATCTGATTGTCCTTCCCCATTAATAACTTCCACTGGCCCCCAGACGCCACAGGAAAATGTACAAATTCTTTAACACACAATGCCTTTCTTACCTAGCATGCTTCTGTGTCAATGAATGCTACCTGTACAGGAAACTTCCATGTTGTAGTCCAATGGTCTGTTCCTCCAATTTTTAGAATTAGGCTCCCCCATAAAACTCAGAAAGGGCCTTCTTCGATAATACTACATACTGACAGAGTGATACAAGATTTATCATCAAATCTGTATCTACTTTTTTGTTTTTCTGGCTATATACACCAATAGGTGGAGTAGAATGAGAGGAATTTCATTTTAACAATGTAACTTGATACTTTAATAGTCCAAGTTACATGCTAGGATCATAATGTAGTCTAGCATATATTTCCAATAATTCGACAATCCTTTTATAGTTCCTATGTCTTCTGAGATTTATTACATCTTTCTTCAAATGTGTTCAAAACAAAGTAATAAAAGTTATTTGTCACTTAATTGTGAGCATCATTAATTTCTGACATCAACAGCAGTAGTCACAAATTGCCTATTTGTCTTACTGCCAAGTCCTTTTTCTTCCTGACCAAACCCATCACAGACTGAAGTCAATAAGGATGCCTTTCATTTGTAATGGATAAGAGCATTATGGAAAGGGAGAACTGGCATGAGATTTTAAAACAAGCACATTCTCAAGCAGGTCAAGTCAAAGAAAGAACACCTATTAAAGTGAAAGGTGTGGAACTCAATTTCCTTAAAACACAAAACTTAGAAAGCTGTAATATATCCCTATAGGCACATGTTGCTGACCCTGAAAGCACTTCTTCAGTAACACCAAATTCCTTCTTGTTCTCAAAAAATCCTGTCCTTTAAACAACACTGTATTTCCACAGTCTCTTGTATCTTCTGAAATACTTTTCCTTTGAGTCTGCCTATGAAATGTTTCTCTTTGTGTGTGTGCGTGTGTGTGCATGTGGAGGTCGGAGGACCACCTTGGGTGTCGGTCCTCACTGTCCATCTTAAGACAAGGTCTCTGCGTACACCAGGCTAGCTGGCCCCTGCACTTTCCAGGATGCTCCTGTCACACCTTCATGTCATCACAGGTACACCCCTGGATCTATCCTCCCATCTTGCCATTGGAGGGCAGGGATGACAGCCTCTACTACCATGTCTGTGGGCTCTGGGGTTCGTAACGCAGGTCCTCACAACTGTACAGCAAGCACTTTACCCACTGAGCCAACTCCTTAGCTCTGTTCCCCATTTTTGAAGACAAAAATCACATTGCGTTCCTTATAAAACCTCTCCAGGGCCAGACATGGTGGTGCGTACCTTTAATCCTGAGAACACAGAAGGCAAAGGCATATCAGTCTCTTTGAATTTGAGTCTAGCCTGGTCTAGATGGCAAGTTGCAGGCTAGCCAATGTTATATAGTGAGACCCTGTCTCAAAAAAACAAAACAAAACAAAACAAAAATCCAAATTCTGCAAAAGTCAATTAAAACTTCCGTGTTCCCATATGGGGCTAGAGAGATGGCTCAGCAGTTAAGAGCACTGAATGTTCTTGCAGAAGACTCGGGTTCAGATCCCAGCACCCACATGGCAGCTGACAACTGTCCCTAACTCCAGTTCTAGGGGATCCAACGATCTCTTCTGACCTCCGCAGGCATTGCACGACACAGGTGCACTTACCCACATGCAGGCAATACACACATACGCTAAAATAAAAATAAATAAATAAAATATTTTTTTAAAAAAACAAAAAACTTCTGTGTTCCCATAGTTCCCACACCTCCTTCTCTTTCAGCTCTGCCCTCTAATATGTATGTAGAACTACAATATTTATCTTATATTTCACTCTGTTATATTCAGAGGTCCTTGAAGGCAGAACAGAAGACATTCATTTCTACATTACATCATGTACCTATGCACCGCTGAAACCAGGCCACAGTAATCTGCCAATCTGCTGGTCAGTGAAAGCCTACAATGTATGCCACTTTCATGCACCAAGCTTCAGTCACCAATAAGCTAGATCACTGAGATATATTACTGTATTTAAAAAAACAAAAAACCCAAACTTCACAGGAGTATAATTTTATAACAGCCTATAAAATTTTAAGGGGGGGGGGCTGGAGAGATAGCTCAGTGGTTAAGAACACTGGTTGTTCTTGCAGAAGACCCAGGTTCAAATCCCAGCACCCACATAGCAGCTAACAACTGTCCATAACTCCAGTCCCAGGGGATCCGAAAGCCTCTTCTGACCAATTTAAAAAATTTTAAGAGGGTTAGATATGAAATTTATTTCTACTTTTAATAAAATAATCAATGATACCACCCACAGGAATTTTCCATGTCCCTTCTACAAAGATCTTCATGTATTAGAAATCAGAATTTAATGCTAAAAGAATGAAATTACTTTTTTCTTTTTAGACAAACTAATGCTTTTAAGAAAATTATAATCAAACCGCTTTGATTATAATTTTTTGCTTCCTTTCTACTTGCCATCAGAGGACTCTAACAGAAGTTTTGTTTTCAAACTCAGCATCTCTAAGCAGTTCTTGTTATAGATGCAATCAATCCTCAATGCCCTCCCTTATAATTACCTAGGTTTTATTCCTATTTTCCTTTACCTTAGAAAATTTAAAACTAGATTTTTTTTTTTTTTACTTCCTATAATGAAGCGTTACTGGGTTGGGGAGATGGCTCAGTGTTTAAGAACACTACCTGTACAAGCATGAGGACCTGGGTTCAAATTCCCAGCACCCATGGAAAAAGCTGGGCATTGCCAGTGCACACCTATAATTCCAGCACTGTGAGAGACAGAGGCATGAGGATCACTGGGGATGGCTGCCAGTGAGCTCCACATGCAGTGAGAAACCCTACCCCAAAATACAAAGGTGGAGGGTAACACAGGAGTATACCCAATATCCTCCTCTGACCTCCAGGTGTGCACCTACATACACATGCCTATACAACACACACGCACACCACACACTTGCACATGCATATACAACACACACACACACAAACACACACACACACACACAAAGCATTACAACATCAAATATTATCAATAATTATCCTGTTTAGTTACAGAGCTCCAAACAAATAATCAATACACAGTAGACATTATACAACATTATACTGTAACATATCTAAGATAAGGAAGATTCTTAGTTTCAGTCTTAAAATTTCATATATCGAATGCATCGGGGGCTTGAGAGATGGTTCGGGGGTTAAGAGCACTGGCTGCTCTTGCAGAGGACCTGGGTTTGGTTTCCACCCACATGGTAGCTGACAGCCATCTGTAACTTCAGTTCCAGGGGATCTGACACCCTCTTCTGTCTCCATGGTCATTGCATGCACACAGTATACTAACATACATGTATGCAAAACACTCATATACATAAAAATAAAATACATGAATACATAATTTTTAATATTTAGTAAGAAAATACAAGCTCCCCAATCTAACCCCTAATCTAATGTGTGTTTGACTCCTCACGCACCCTTTTCCTGTTAACTTGCAGCATACCTGTGCAGGTTCCGGAGCCATGCTTTTCCTCTGCTCTGTTGATTTTTCTATTGCTTCACTAAGGGACTTTGCATATTGTACCATAGCCTTCAACTGGGAATCCGTTAAAACCCATAATAAATCATCCAATATAAGAACTAACTTTGTTGCAATGACATTGCAGTCTTTTAACTGTAAAAACAAAATTTATAAAATTGTTGAGTATGAAATTTATAATGCACTTGCATTTTTCAAACACATATAATATACTTTCATTTTTAAAAAACATAATTAAAAAATACTTTTACTGACTCTTTAAGAATTTCATACAATATATTTTTATCATATTCAGACTTCCTCCCCAATCTCTTCTCAGATCCACCCCCATCTGACTACCTACCCCAACTTCATGTCCATTATTTTTTTAAAAGGCCTATAGAGTCTCATTTGTGTTCCCGAAATGTTCTCGGGTGTGGGTTCATCCCCTGAAGCCTAGTCAACCTACCCTGAGTCATCCCTTAAAGAAAACTGTCCCTCTCTCAGCAACTATCAATTGCCAAAGGTCCTCAGGTAGGGCTGGGGCTTCCTACCACATGCCCTCCCCTCCCCCAAATTCATGCTGGGTTTTTGTCTGGCTTGGACTTGGGCATGCTGTCACAAGTGCTGTGGGTTCCCATGTGCAACTGCCCTTTTGTGTTCAGAAAACACAATTTCCTTGTATCTACCCATCACTTCTGGTTCTTATAATCTACTATCACTATTCTGCTAAATGGTCATAGTATTAAACTGAGTCCTAATAACTTATTATTCTATAACCCGTAGATTAGTACATCTCTCAACTCTCAACAGGGAAGCTTCTCGAAGTGCAGAGAATAAAAGACTACGGAGTGCTCATTCCTAAACGGCACATCTATATCATTCCCTCTCCTCCCAAGGCTCCGGGGTCATCGTGGAAGGGGGGGTGGAAACATTATACAAAGCATAATGTTTTGTAGTGAGATTAAATGTGGATATGGATGTTTCTTTCATTTAACAAATAATTATTGAGTTTACATAAAATAGAATATCTCTCAGAGCTAGACATAACTAGTGGCAACAAAAGACTGGCAAATTCCCCAAGTACAAATTAAGCAGCACATATATAATTTTCCATGTACATTTGACAAATCATAATTATTCCATTAATTGAACTAATTCTACCAGAGAAAGATATTAAATTCATTAAAACCTAAAAGGCTAGTTTATCCAGTTTCACTTTTCAGGGTATCTGTGTTAAGCACTACACACTGAGAAAATTTCCTTCCAATTTAACTTAACATAGTTATTACAGTTAATACACTCAGTGATACAAACTACATTGTTGAGTCTTAAATTGAGCTGTGTTTTTTTAAAAAAATAATAAATTACCTCTTCATTAAATTTCATCCCCAACCACAGTGGACTCTCAAACCCTAATACCTTAAGTACTATTTTCCTAATTTACCTAGGTGACCAGCCACATCTTAATAATCTATTAAAGGTCAGAGTTTTGGTTATAATAATAAAAATAATGTTGAACAAGATTCAACAGGAGAATTTTCTCTTCCTCTTCCTCCTCCGTTTTCTTCTTTTCTTGCTATACACTGAGCATTGAACTTAGGGCCTTACACATGGTACGTAAGCATTCTACCAGCAAGTTGCGATTCTAGCCATGAAATTATAAAACAAAATGTTCAACAAATATTTGACAACTAAAAGATCTATTCAATTAATCAAACATAAAAGCCTTTGAAAATCTCCATCTGAAAGACAGAAGAATGTTGCGACCACACACACTAGCTTTCCACAATACTGGCTGCAGCAATCCATCTCTCTTCATTTGCCAGCACTGCTTAATAGACCACTCATAGTACGTTAGTATTTCAGCTAAGAAAGCGGCTTGAAATTCCCTGTCAATTCTAATTAATGAAGAGAACAATCAATACGATAATCTGGTTGACTTACTCTTCTTTTAAGTGTGACTCTGATTTTTGATTGATTAGTTATTAATCGAACAGGAGCACACATAATTTCAAGATGTGAACTTTGGGTAGCATCTGCCTCTATTCGAATCATCTGCCAATTTATTTCTTTAAATGTCAAAACCTAAGGAAAACAGAGATTAGCTCTACACGTCCATGCAAAATGAGAAAAATGCACAATTTTGACTGCAAACAAAAAACATTATCTTCCCAACTAATTTTCATGACATCCTAAAAATATTCACCATGCTGCTTTTAGTACCCTTCATTAAATTCGGTAACATATTTTCTTTAAAAAATTTTTTTTTATTTGTTATGAATGTATTGCCTGCACGTATATAAGTGCACTCATGTCGTGCAATGTCCACAAAGGTGGGAAGAAGGTGTTAGATTCCCCTAGAACTGGAGTTATGGATGGTTGTTAGCTGCCATGTGGGTGCTGGGAATCAAACCCAGGTCCTCTGCAAGAGTAGTCTGTGCTCTTGGGGCTGGAGAGATGGCCCAGCGGTTAAGAGCACTGGCTGCTCTTGCAAAGTACTCTTACATAAAATTAAAAAAATTTTTTTAAAAGAGCAGTCAGTGCTCTTAACCACTGAGCCACCTTTCCAGCCCTGCAGTAACATATTTTCATAATTATATTAATCATTTGTAAAATTCTTAATATTTTTATGCTTAAAAATTTTAAGTACAAAAACACTTAAATTATGCCTATAAAAGTATTTGAATAATACATTTTAGTTTTGTAAATTTAAAATTCAAAAAGGATTGGCAAGATGGCTCAGCAGGTAAAGACATTTGCCATGAAAGCCTGTTGGCCTGAGTCAACACCCAGAACCCATATAAAGGTGGGAAAGAGACCTGACTCCACAAAATTGTCCTCTGACCACCACATATGTACCATGGGATGCATGTCCACAACATACATCATGCACTGCCACACAATAGTAAAAAATAAAAATTTTAAATTCAAAAATTAGTATTCATTAACTCTCTAAGGTGAAATCTTACAGCAAAACAATAAAACATGGACATTAAAAATTAAGTGATGATGAGTAACAGAGAAACACATACTAAAGGCAAGAAGAGAGACTTTAGTAGTATGTGAATCTGGACAACCACAATATATAATTTTTATTAATTAATTAATTAATTTATTATTTTTACTTTGTGTATGCGTGTTTTGCCTGCATGCATGTACCGTGTGTGCAATGTCCACAAAGGTCAAAAGAGGGCATCAGATCCCCAGAACTGGAGTTACAGATGATTCTTAGCTGCTATGTGGGTGCTGGGAACCTAACTGGGGTCCTCTGCAAGAGCAGCCAGTGCTCTTAACCATGGAGCCATCTCTCCAGTACTAAGATATAATTATTTTAAATGCTTGTTGATATATCGCTGACTAAAACATTTTCCAAAACAAGAAAAGAAAAACCTCCTTTACCTCTCCTCTCTGTGGATCTTGAATACGAGTAAATTTTAAGTCTCCATGCTCCCAGTTTGCGTTAACACTATAGATCCGTAGCTGAGAAAGTTCAAAGGATGCATTGAAGGCTTTTGCGCCAATTCTGATAACAATAGAATTGACAGAGACAGTAATTCCCTCAACTACTTTTTCAGCAAAGCCATATTCACTGGAAAAACAAAGCAAAAAAATACAATGCACTAAAGGAAAAATAGTCATCAAAAATTATTAGTTAATAGTCTCATGCAAGTACACATACAAACTGCCTTAATTTATTACTCATACTATTTAAAAAGAATGTTTGGTTTTTGTGAAAACTTACATGTAGGTTATAAAAATGTTCTCTAGCATGTTCAAGAAACCAGAGATAAAGGAGAAATACTGTATTCAAAAATGAAGAGCCATCTGGCCTTAAGAACCTCCGAGTCCTCTGCTGCCACTTCTGCTGCTCTGCCCGTGGCTACTCATTACTTTTTAACAATATGAAAATCAAGAGGAACGAAAGCTAAAAATAACCCACTTCAAACTAAATGAAGAAAATGTCTAATGAAGAGGTGACTGAAATAGAGGGCATGTGAGATTATAAGATTGATAGTCTTTCTGTCCTATTGCTGCAGATAATAGAACTATGGATATAAAAAAACACCCTGTGACAGTCACATAGATCAGAAGACACAGCTTACCTCTGTCCTGAAGCAGTTGCAATTGGCGAGGGGCCATTAGGGGCGCGCGGCTCTTCACATGTGCTCATCTCCATTATTACTTTATCTAGAGACTAAGAAAAATGCAAAGAATTAGATAGCTTATAGCTGGGTGTGGTGGCGCATGCCTTTAATCCCAGCACTTGGGAGGCAGAGGTAGGTGGATCTCTGTGAGTTCGAGGCCAGCCTGGTCTCCATCATGAATCTAGGCCAGCTGGGGCTACAGGAAGACCCTGTATCAAAAATACCAAAAAAAAAAAAAAAAAAAAAGAATTAGATGGCTTATATGTATTGTGAGTAGGAAGTATATTTTCCCTTTCATTTCTCTAAGAACAAAGTTGACATTTGTAAAAATGCCAAAAAGGAAAAGAAAATATTCAGTCCTAAGTTAGGGCAGTGACTATCTGGTAGACGGGATTGCATGAGGGGGGTGGGGGGTGGGGTGACTCAGCATTAGCCATTAACTGATGAGATCACTAGATTCAAAGAAGTGTAATCTCTAATCCCACAAGTATTACATTACTGATAAATCATATATCAATGGGGCTGGACCACACTTAAAAGCCTTACCTCAACACGAGACCTCAGATAAAGACATAAAACTAATTATTAAATAAGCAGGAAATAATTTTCTCCACAATGAGAAAAGCTCCTTTCCAGTTATTTTTCCTTCTTGAACATAGATCTGATGTTCTTAATAGTAATATAAACACAGCTCCAGTCACCCTTCATTCTCTAATGTATTTATGTATTTTTTTTGTTTTGTTTTTTGTTTGTTTTTGTTTTTTCAGACAGGGTCCCCCTATAGTCCCAGCTGGCCTGGAACTTGCTATGTAGACCAGGCTGGTCTCAATCTCACAGAGATTCACCTGCCTCTGCCTCCCCAGTTGATGGGATTACAGGCATGGGCCACCACACCCAGCCGTTCTCCACCTTATATATGGCATTTCTCAGTATCTAGAATCATCTTGTTTTATTGTATATTCATGTAGTGTCTGTTAAATATAAATTCTCTCACAGCAAAAAATGAGTGGTTAATAATATATAAGGAATGAGATTAGGGATATAGATTAGTTCAATATAATTAAATACATGTATAATTAAATACATAATTAAATACAATCTAGAATGGAGAGAGAGAGAGAAATTATGGAATGAATGAATCAATAAAGAATCTGGGCAGGTAAGATAGCTCAGCAGGTAAAGGTGTTTGTTGTGCAAGCCTGATTCCCACAAGCTGTCCTTTGACCTCCACATGTATACCATGGCATATGTGTGCCTGCACTCACGCACAAACATTAAACGTACACACAAATGGACACATAATAAATAAAAATTTAAGAATAAACTAAAGGACTAAATGATCTATTTTATTCAATTTTCCTTAAAAGGTATATTACAGAACATATTATTCAGTTTATAGCAAAAACACAGACATCTAGATGAAACATTATTAAAATAATTCTACAATATGTCAATGAAGAATTTTAAAATGTAGTAAGATGTATCAAAGTAGACATAATGTTCTATAAATAAAACTTTAAAAATCCTCTGATTTTAAAGTTCAAACTTCTCATATCAGGGCTGAAAAAAACTAAGTCCAGCCAAAATAAAGGGAAGCTAATGGATGGAAAGTCCAAAGTGCAAAATAGTACATTCAGTTAATTTATATATAAACACTTATTTTTGAGACAGTTTCAGAACTCACCAAGCAGATAGGATGTGTTTTCAGTTTTGTCCATGGGATCTACAAATAGAAATTATTTTTTAAACAAATTATTAAAAGTTGATGTGAAAAGTAATCAACATTCACTGTACGTGTTAGTGATAGACATCAACTTATATCAGGTGACATTTCTCTCACACTGTAAAACAATAAACTGAGCAAATTATTCATATTTTTGAAATCAGACCTACCTATTTATAATATAAGAAAATAATACTGGCTATATCTTCTTAGTTGACTACTTAAAGAATTTCAAGTTTTACTAGTTATATATTTTTATCAGTCCTTAAAATGCATTTTAATTTCATAAATTAAACTAGGAGTTCTCAGCAAAGCATAATCACTGTATTTATTAACTTGTTTTATCCTAGAATTCTGACCAATATTTTTATAAATATTCAAAATAAATATAAAATTAAGGTGATTACTATAAAATGTAGGAAATATCAAATAAATAATATTCAGGCAAACCCTGTCAAGTCTTTGTAGATATTGGAGTTTATCGAGGATAGAATCCAAATTAAAGATGAACATCAAAGAATATATTATCCTATTCCAAAACCTTTCCTTAGAAATTCAAATTTTAATTTTATGAAAAACATTAGCACACTCTATTTCTACAAAGCAGTCTCAATCTAAGCCTGACCTTTATAAGAAGTGCTATAAATTGGCATATGATTACAAAAAAATAGAACAATAAGGATGACAAGATTAACAATAGTAAACAGAAATTTTTAAATTTCTCAAAATGACAAAGAAACAAATGAAGGGATAAAATTCTAAAGGGGAACATAATGTCTACAGTAATAAATGACAGTTCTTATGTACATCTTTATTTGAAATATTTACTATAAATTTAAACTGTTATCTGACAATAATTCCTATGGAAAAAAATTTATGAATACATGCAAAATTGAAGCAATTATTTTATTACTAACAAATTAATTTATTAAATGTCATTAAAATCTTGTTTTAGATACACTGTGACTTCAGTTACACTCATAAGGGATGCAATAATTATTTATGCAGAGATTTGCTTTCTAAATTATAATAGTGAAATTCTTCTTCATAAAATTATCTAAAGCAGAATGTTTACTTTAAAGTACAGAGATGAAAAAGAGAATGAAAACAGGAAACATCCAGACACCAAAGCCTTACCCGAATGGATGCTTTATTGCAAAACACTCTGCTGATCGCAAGCCAGGTGGGCAGGTCCAGCATGTTCTGCAGCACCTCTTCATCCAGCTCCAAATTCTTCAGCTCACCTTCTCCTTTAAGTGTGCTTAGATTGATCTTGTCAGGAGATAAATTTTTGGTAAATCTGAAGAAGAACATATGTTACATTTACTGCAGTATTGGTCAAGTACCGAAGAGGCATCCCCGTGAATGCACAGAGTATTAAAACTGTAATAGCATCGCTAAAATCCAGAAAATCCCAGTGATAGGATTTATTTTATCTGTGTTCATTGTCTTTCATTGTTGTTTTGATTTTTTCTATCCAAAACTTTTGATTATTAAGTCTACAATTGGAGGGAGCAGGACACAGATTTGCATGTCATATTCCCATAAACAAAGTCTGGTTCTTACCACCTTGCAAACTAGATGACAATTTAGTAAGCGTCTACCACTATTTTCTGAGCACTATGGCTCTGACCTATTCCCTATCACGTTTTGTTCACTAGAGATTACATCACAGAAGATAGTACTGTGCTACTAACCAAGCTACAAGGGGGGCCCTTCCACAGCCCCAATGCTGTAGCAGTCCCACAGCAGCGGATGTCAGTCATCATCCTAATAATAATGGTCAAACGACATACTGCTCCTGTTAAACTCACCTGGTGACTCCCAGCATCAGAAACTGACCATAAGCATTTCAGAAATGAATTCTGACACATATATTGCATTTTAAGAAGTTTTTGCTGGACGTAGTGGCACATGTCTTTAATCCCAGCACTTGGGAAGCAGAAGCAAGTGGATCTCTGTGACTTCAAGGCTAGCCTGGTCTACACAGTGAGTTCCAGGCCAGTTGGAGCTACAGGGAGATCGTGTCTCAAAAAGACCAAAAAAAAAAAAAAAAAAGGTTTCAGAGTAAGGAGATTATGCAATTCCATTTATGAGTTGATTTTGGCATTCTTTGTGTAACTCTTTAAACCATCATTACTGGGGCTGGAGAGATGGCTGAGTGGTTAAGAGGGTTCACTTCTCTTGCATAAGACCCAGTTCAGTTCCCAGCACCCACATGGCAGCTTACAACCACATATAACTCCAGTTCTAAGTGAACTGATGCCCTCTCTGCTCTGTGGGATCCTGCACACACGGTGCACATGAACTCATACAAACACACACATATAGATAAAACTAAAAAATACATTAAATTTTTATAAAGAAAAAAATAATTAAAAAATGAATTATTTAAACTCTCTATGCACCACTCCTGCACAAGTGCTTTCGAAGGGTTAGCTATAACAGGACAACTGACACAAAGTGCTTAATGAGAGTGCAAAAACACAAGGGAGAATAAACCTTGACTTGCAACTAACATTCTCTCTGATGACTTAAAACAAAGAGTCTTTAAATTTTTTTAAGTATTGGGGCTGGAGAGGCAGCTCAACAGAAGAGCACTTTCCTATCATTTGTTGGAAATGTCCACAGGGCTTGTGATCAATTGTTTTTTGTTATGAAGCATCTATTAGGGAAGAACTTTGATATCTATGGAAAACTTTATTTCATTTAAAATTTCATCTCTGCTTTTTAGCATAAATATTGTTTTATGTACAAACCACTTATTAATATTTGTTTGTTTTTTAGAGGCAGGATCTCCCTGTAGCCCCAGCTGACCTGGAATTCACTATATAGACCAAACTGGCCTCAGTCTCAGAGAGATCCACCTGCCACTGCCTCCCAAGTGCTGGGATTAAAGATGTGCACCACCACTCCTGGCCTAATATAATTTTTTTAAATTAGAAACAATAAAATTCTCAATAAAGTTTCTTTAAAAAATAAATAAAACTAATACTAAAAAAATTAGAAACAATAACTTAATGTAATAGTGGACATTTTATAAGAATTTACCCTGGGGGCCGTGGAGATGGCTCAGTAGTTAACAACATTTGCTGCTTGATCATGAGAGCTGGATTCAGATCCCAGAACCCACATCAGGAGACTCACAAACACCTGTAACTCCATCTCCAAGGAGTCTGGCACATTCCTCTGGGCTCCACAGGCACCTGTACACAATGTGCACATGCATTTCACACAGATACATACACACATATAATCTTGGTTTTTTGTTTGTTTTTTGATTTGTGTTTTTGAGATGGTCTCACTTTGTAGCTCACTATGTAGATAGATCCAGTTGGCCTCAAACTTAAAATGATCCACCTGCCTCTATCTTCTGACAGCTGGGATTAAAAGTGTACACCACAACACCCAGCATAAAATCTTTTCTTTCTAAAGATTTGCTTGTATGTGTGCAGGTGTGTGTGGGGGGGGGAGAACAAGAGAGACAGATACAGAGAGAGAAAGAGAGACAGAGACAAAAATGTCACGTGTGTTCAGTGCTCAGTGGTTAAGTGCATTTGCTGCTCTTGTAGAGAACCTGGTTCAGTTCCCAGCACCCACATGGTAGCTCATGACCATCTGTAACTCTGGTCCCAGGGGATCTGATGACATCTCTTCTGGCCAGCAAAGTGCTGCACATACACACATGTAAGCAAACACTCATACACATAAAATAAATATTTTAAACTGTGCTGGATAGCTTTGGTGTCAACTTGACACACCTGGGTTGAGGGAGCCTCAATTAGATAATTGTCTCCATTGGACTGGCCTGTGCCCATGCCTGTGGGGCATCTTCTTGATTGTTGAGTGATGTGGGAGGGCCCAGGCCACTGTGGGTGGTGCCATCCCTGGGCAGGTGGGCATAAGAAAGCAGGCTGAGCAGGGGCCAGGGGAGCAAGCCAGTAAGAAGCACTCCTCCATGCCTGTGCTCCAGTTCCTGCTTCCAGGTTCCTGCCTTGAGTTCCTACCTTGGGCTCCCTGATGAACTGTGACCTGGGAGATGTAAGATAAACTCTTTCCTCCCCAAGTTGGTAGTGGTCAGAGTGTTTTGTTACAGCAATGAAGAAACAAACTAGCACATAAACCTTTTTTAAAAAAAAATTACAAAAGTGAAACTATTGTTCAAATTAACTATTGGTTAACAAAAGAACTATTAGTCTTTTACATTTTTATATTTATTCAGTGTGTGTATGTGTGTGTGTGTGTGTGTGTCTGTCTGTCTGTCTGTCTGTCTGTCTGTTGAGCAGAGGACAACTTGGAGTCAGTTCTCCCCTTCTACCATTTCCACAATGTGGGTTCCAAGGATCAAACTCACGTTGTCCGGCTTGGCAGCCAGCCATCTTGCCAGCCCCTTATGACACTTTAACTGATTCTTCTTCTAGACTTCATGGGCTCCATAATTCAGATGTGCAAATACCCACAAACACATATACACATAATTTTGCTTGTTTGGTTTTGTTTGTTTTGTTTTGTCTTGTTGTTTTGAGACAGGGTCTTCCAATGTAGCTCTCTAGCTGTCCTCAAAATCACTATGTAGACCAGTTTGACCTTGATCTCACAGAGATCCACCTTCCTCTGCCTCCTGAGTGCCCAGCTTTTAAAAAAAATAAACAAAACAACAATGTCACTTCTTGTAGGCAGAATGTTAGTAGATCATTCAGAGGATTCACTATTCAGACACATACACTGGTAAGCACTACATTAAAAACTGTCACGGTAGAGTTTTTAGGTTAGCTGTTGAGGTAGGGATCAGATATTACTAAGAAAGAATACCACAGGGTCCTAATGCAGCTTCTTTATGAAACTTTTCAGCTAATATTCCAAGTAGAGAGAAATAAAAGGTCTACAAGTTCTGAGGAATAAGTGAGAACAGCATAAAAAAGAACTTAAGGGCTGGAGAGATGTTTCAGCAGTAAAGAGCACTGGCTGCTCTGGCAGAGGACCTGGGTTCAGTTCCCAGAATCCACATGGTGGCTAACAACCCTGTGTAGCTCCAGTTCCAAGAGATATGACACCCTCTACTGACCTCTATGGGCACTGCATGAAACGAGTACACTTGCATACACACAGGCAATACACTCTTACACATAAAATAAAAATAACAATAAATAAAATATTTTTTTAAAAAAAGAACTTAAAAGATCAGCATCCACAATGTAGCAAGAAGTCAGGACAGCAGAAGCCAAGTCTGGAAGCACAAGGGGTGGTGCAAACTATACAAAGCCTTGGCCATTGTGTTCGTTCATTCAATAAGTTTAACAATTCATCATTTAGTCAGCACTGGATATTTGAAAATAAAACAGACAAAAATATACCTATCCACCTCACCCATCCACAACTCAGGGACCATTATGGAAGAGTGGGCAGAAAGAGTGTAAGAGCCGGGGTTGGTCATGAACATAAGGAAATGGAAGCTTTCAGGCCCCTGGGAACTTGCTCATGAACTTCCAACAAGGCCCATGTTAACTCAATCAAATAAAAACCCAAAATAGAATGGCAGAAATGGGTAGAAGGTCCCAACCCTAGCCAAGGAACTATTGGCAAGTGATTACTATGGAGTGAGGGAGAGAATATCTTCTTTAAGGAAATGACTCAAGATATGCTGAGTAGACTCCAATGGATGAACTCGCACAGAGGAACATGTGGGTACTATTGGGCCAGGCATGCTGGGACATAACTTTAGTCAGCACTTGGGAGGCAGAGGCAGACAGATGTCTGTGAGCCTGAGGCCAGCCTAGTCTACATAATAAGTGCCAGGCCAGCTGGGGCTATGGGAAGACGCTGTCTGAAAAAGGCCAAAAAACAAAACAACAAAACAACAAAACAGAACAAATACTTGACCAGATAGGACTTAACATATATGACAGAATACCTGAAATCTGGTGGAGGAGGGTAATTGGGACAGTGAGGGAGGAGGGAATCTAAATTTAATTAAGATCTATTATATGAAATGCACAAAACTAAAAAATAAAATGGAAAAATAAACACCACCACACACACAAGCCAGTCTGGGGACACGGTGGCGCTGTGAATTCTAGTAGAGACAGGCATGAGTTTGAGGCCAGCCTGGTCTACAAGGCAAGTTCCAAGCTATTGCATTTCTAAACCAAACGATACCTTCCTGGCTTTCCCCTGATATTGGTCCTGCTGTTCTCTGCATATGTCAAGCATGCTTCCGTCTCAGTTTTGCACTCACTATTCCTCTGCCAAGACGCAGAACGCGCTTCCTCTGGACATCTGTATAGCTACCTTCTTTGCTTC